TGGATGATTGCTAGATTGTAAGAGGAAGAGAGGTAAAGGGGAGACAGTGGTTTGAAAAGGTATAATCACTAAACCTAGTGTTTTCAAGTTATTAATGACATAATTAAACATGGACAAAATCTTAACCTATGGGATATGCTGAAGAAAAAAAGTTGGGAGCATATTTTTAAAATGTTGGTAAATATTGCCACTCCCTGACTTCTAGTCTGCCATTGGCTGGCTGGGCACTCCTGGGAAAATCACACAACTGAGTGCAGCCATATTTCTCAGGCTGGGCTAGAAGATCCCAAAGGCAGTGCTTTCCAAAACCTGTCTGTAAAGCACTGTTGGGGACAACATGTGTGTCCTGGAGAAACAGGAAAGTACAGGGTAGTAACTTTCTCATAAGGCAAACTATATTCAATTCAAAGGAGTGTCCTTTAGTCTGAAATTAGGGTCTTATTACTTTCTTGTTATTAACCATTTAACATTTCAATTGTAAAATAATGACAGTGAAATAGATAGCAAATGATCTCTTTCCATTTGTGTGTGTGCTGTTGGGGGGAGGTTCTGGGGGCCAAGCCTAGGACTTTGTGCATACTAGGCAAGTGTCCTACTACTGAACTATACTTCTGCTCCATATTTTTTTTTATTGTCCTTACCTAACCTGTTAAAAAGTTGGCTATTTTATCTTAATTATAAACTTTTTTTGAAATGTTTTTTGAAATGTATGATAGACTACACAAGGAATCACTATTCTATTTTCAAACTCAAAATTTTCAGAATCTTCTACATTTCCACAGCTCTTTATAGTTTGTTAAACATTTTCACATTAATTATATCACTTGGAGCTCTATGATCTGTGAAACAATCTCGTGTTCCACAGATTTTAAAAATACAGAGTTTAAGGTGATTAGGTAACTTCACCAAGATTATATGGTTTGTTTAAGAGCCAGATTCCATCTCATGTTTTTTGACTTTGAATCCTATCTACTTTCCATCTAAAAGTAGTTCATGAATTGGATCTTACAATAGAATCATAGTATTTGCTTGTTTGTTTTTTGGTGGTGCTAGGGATTGAATCCAGCACCATGAATTCATGTCATGAATTCATGACAAGTACTCTACCAACTGAGATATATCCCCAGCCCCTACTATAAGTGTTTTAATGTACACAGAACTAATAGGTTTGAATTTCTGGAGGATGGGGCCTAATCTGGGTGATTCTGGTCTATAGGCAAACTTGGGTACCACTATCAAATGGTACTTGCCTCTGTCTACCTGGACTCACAAGAAAGAATGGGGGTTTAGAGATAGAATTGGATATCCCTGGGCAAGTCACATGATCACCTGAGCCTCAATTTCTGCATCTGTGTAATACGAACTATGATATCTAACATGCAGATTGTAAATATTTTGAAAAACAATATGCAGTACCTAAATCTGTTAGTCACTCAAAAAAGGAAGCCATCATCATTACTATTGCTACTATGGAAATACTACCTAGAATGCTGCTCTATTACTACTAATTATTATTACTGCAATTTATAAATAGCAATATTATAAATAGCAATGATTGTAGAATTTTCCTTAAACAAATTTATAGCAAATACAGGTTAACAATTTACTTGTGATGGTCTCAATTTTTTCCTTTGTGAAATATCTACATCTGTTAATTTCTGGGGTATCTTTGGCTCTAAGAAGCCTGGGACTACATGGTTCTATTGAAGAGTTGAAGAAGGAAGTTTTGAGGAAGTAGCTTTAGAAGATTATTAAATAAATATACTTGAAATAAATTCGTACTTACAAATGACAACTCGATAGCTATGCTGTCATTTTCTGTCAAGGCAAGACTATGTCTAAATCCAAATATTTGCTTCTTTACAGTTTATAATTTGTATGTATCTGGGATTAAAAGTATTTGAAATAGCTTACAACAAATTACAAAAAGACAACAATAAAGCTAGAGGGAAAAGCTAATAATCATTAATAAATGGGGCAGAAAAAGAAGATAAAGGATAATGGAGTACCCTCTGACCCTAGTTATAATCAAACTGAAAGCTTCAAGTTTAGACTCAGTTCCTTTCTATTCTTGTTGTCACTGCCCTGGGTCAGGCTGTAGCCTCACCTAGACTGCTACAAGCATCTCTGTTTTAATGGGTCTCCTTGCCCCTTCCTAATTCTGGGTTCATATAATTTTGGCTATAGCCTTCTTTGTAAAGAGCCCTGGTTGTATCTTTATACCATTAATACTCTTCCTTGGCCTTCCACTGTTTACCATAGTCCTTCTACCACTTAATCCTCCATGATCATCTCCCAAACTACCACACTTAGTGTGGTCTCTAGCCAAATTGAATTACTTCTTAGTGTTCAAATGCAGCTTGAGTTTTTCCATCACCTTACCATTCTATTGCATCTTACAAGATAAGTAAATGAAGAAAATAAATATCCAGGGATAATTTCTATGTATAAGTCACAATTCTTTTTGATTATAGTATAATATACATTTGCGCCCAAATCTAACCAGTTACTACATTAAGAATCTAAGTTAAAGAGGCATCTTTATATGTAATCCAAAGTCTAGCACTATCGCCTCATATTTACTGTATATAAAATTTTTTCTTTAGCTGCTGAGAAAGGATTGTCTTTCAGTTGCCAAGGCACACAAGGCCAGCTGGCAGGAGTAGTCCAGGAAAAAAAAAAAAACATGCCACATTGAGTTCCCATGCAACAGAAACAAATGAAACCTAATTTGCTGATCTGTCTTGTTTATTTTGGTTCATTCGACAATGTAATATAACAGAAACAACACTGAACTGGGTATTAGAAGACCCAAAATTTAGTCCTGTTTCTGCCATTGACCAACCATATAACTTTCAGAATATCATGCAAATTTCTCGTCCTTGCTTTTTTTTCACTTACAAAATGAAAATCTTCCTTGCTTTACTCAAAGAGTCCATACACATAGTAATATTATTCTTTTATTTGCCATTCCCTAAAATGTAGCCTTTTTCTATGTGCTTTACAATTCTATCCTGTGGTGAAGCCTTTGCAGATGCCATAAGTCCATGTTAATCTCACTGAGGGTCCTAGAGGAGGATTCCTATAAATAATCACAGATAATTCTACAAATATTTGTAAAATATCACAAATGGTATTATTCAAATATATTTTAAGGGGTTGACTAGATGATCTCTGAAGCCCTTGCTAGTTTAAAAGTAGTAAATTTCTATATTCAAATTTACACTTGAAATTCAACTATTTTGTATATAAAGAAAACTTCAGATATGTGTACATCATCTCTATTCTCATATCTTGGAAATTTTTGGACAGACCAATTTCCCTGTCTCCCAATTTTAACCCTTACAAAGTCTTAGTATACCTGTTCCCTTCTTATATATGTAACAACTTGCCTGACATTTCATATTTCTTGTAGTAATTTGTACTAGTTTTTTGTTTTACATCAGAATATGGATTTAAGTTTTAAGTAAACATAAGAATTTACAGGCTGGGGTTGTGGGTCAGCAGTAGAGCGCTCACCTAGCACATGCAGGGCTTTGGGTTCAATCCTCAGCACCACATTAAAATAAAATAGATTTGTGTCCCAACTTCAACAAAAACAAAATATATTTTTTTAAAAAGAATGTAAAACGAATTACTAAAACATATTTTTATTTTTATGTTTTTCTTATATTGCTAGTTGTAATATTACAGATTCTGAAAAGAAATTTTTAATTAATATCATCTAAGGAAAGGTAAATATTCTTTAAAATGTCTACTTTGTTAAAATATAAAAGTATATGAGCACACAGAAAAATTGCTTGCTCCAAAAACTAGATGTGTCATCATAATCTAAAAGGTGGGCCTTAAAATAGAGATGGTGAGTACATGCAAACTTACTAACCCTTTGCCACCTCACTCTCTAGTCAGAGTGGAGACTGATAAATTGACACCAGGAAACAGAACTCTTTGATATCCTGGGACTTTTTTATTATTTTTTTTTTCAGTTGTAGATGGTAATTTATTTATTTATATGTGGTGCTGAGTATCAAACCCAGTGCCACACACATTCAAGGCAAATGTTCTACCACTGAGCTATAACCCCAGTCCTTCTTGATATCCTGTTTTAAAGAGTAACCTGGCTGAAATTCAACCTAGCTGACACTGCCATTCCTTTCCCTACAGTTTGGATTTTTAATATAATCGGAGTTACAGTGAAGAAGCTACAGGTCCTCCTACACTTTGAGTTTTTAGAGGCACTCTCACCTGAGCTAGTCTGCAGATCTAGGTAAATCAAAGACGATGCTTCTGAATACACATACACACACACACAACTTTGGGGATAACCAAGCTGAGATAATTTCAAAGTCTAGTACATAAATGATACAAGATAATCTGCCATATTCAAGTGACACTCAGGAAAGAAAGAAAAACCCCCTCTAGTCTACTTTTCCTTAATACAAAATACAACACTTGAACTTTTAGATAAATTAAACCTCTATATTCTGAAGAGAGATTTATAAACTCTAGAGAGTAATATTAAATGATTCAGATAGTGGTACCATGCAAGAACAAAGTCACCAGAACCCTTCATACAAATTAAATGGAAAGAATTCAGCCCTTACCTGGCATAAACCACTGATGCACATATCCAGTGATTCGGTATAGCAACGAGTTCCATCTAACACCTTCGGTGCTAGTTCAACAACCAGGGTTGTTCCCTTGGCTTGACACTTTAGTGAACAGGGGTTGTCGGGGTCATTAGACACAGGAAGCCATTCATAAAACTGGCCATGGTGCTTGACATCATTATGAGCAGAGCATTGCTGAGCTCGGAAATCACCTGCTTCGGGTGGGCAGTCCTGGAGAAGAAGAGGAGGGGAGCAAAAAGTTAAGGGGATGGCCCCAAATAGAAAACCAGAACAGCTACGTGGTTTGTGGAAGTTGTAGAAAACAAAGTAAAAGCCTTGTCATTACACAGGGACCCTCCCATATCAGGTCATGTGATTATTTGACCCTCAAAGTAAAGAAAGCTGAGAAAACAATCTCCTGGAAATAAATTTTCTAATTAAAGTTAAATGAGAGAGTAACCAGTTTGAGATAGTTACTTTGGTTGATACTTGTTGGGAAAGTAACCATCTTGAAATGCATTTTCTGACAAATGTCCACTGGTCCATGAATACTTCCACATGGATAGCATTTCCATTTCCTCGTATCTTAAGTGGAACCTGGAATTAGCTGAAAGCATTCTTTGTCTCCTTTGGTCCAGACACTGGAAGCTAGAATGATTCGTTATTGTAATGACTAGCAGAAAAAATTTACGATAATTTCATTCAAAAAAATTGGGGGTATTGTTTGGCATTTTTTTCTAGAATTAAAGCTACATAGTATCTAGAATGAATCTTGGGGAACCCAAGAGAGATGGTCATTTATACATGGGTGTGTGGCAGCAATACCGTGGGTCTCCCTGACTTGTTTTGCCCATGCTCAGAGCAGAGTTAATAATACTAATCAGCTCTCAAGGTCACTGTGAGAGGCTCATGAGTTTATTCTGGCCAATTACTGGCTTGTGGAAGCTACCTAGTAAATGGTAGCAAGTCCTGTGATTATTTAATGAAGTCACAGGAAAGAGTTGGAGAATTAAGAGATTCTCTCAATTTAAATTTTAAAAGGTATTGACAGAGATCAATGGAAAATAAGACTCTCCTATATTTCAGAGAGGGTAATTGAAAATCTGAAACCATGAATAACAATGGCTATTATTTAATAAATGATAAAACACAGTGAAAGCAGATAAGATTTTGCCTTAAAAAGGCAAATACTGTGTCTTCTTTGGAAAGGTTTTTTGACACGTCTATTTCATTCTATATGTCTCAGAATGATTCTTACTGTAAAGATTTTAGACTATCCAGGCACAGAGAGGCTTCTTAGATAACTTGTTGTTCTAAAGGATTTGCATCTGGCCTTTCATAGTTCTCAGTTACTACATTATCATTTTTGAGAGTTCTTAAGAGAACTCTCTTTTTCTGTAAATCTCTTTACATTCCTATAAGCATTCAGAGAACAACATCGTTCTTTATTTTATAAAATGGAATTTTTTACTCTTCCCAAACTTATCAAGTAATACATAAGGCTCTGATATTCTGGGGAGCATAAATTCTTTCTAGGCAAGAATAGATAGGAGATAAACAATTAGATACTTATTTAGGATGAACATGAAATCGCTCAAAATACAACATAAAACCTCAAAGACATTTTACTGTTAGTGTTGTATGTGTTCTCAGGGTGAATAAAACATAGTTGTAAAGGAAAAGAACAATTTAAACAACAAAGGTGTAGATATATAGGTACTCAATAGGCTTAAGTGATTTTAAATATTAGCTGAAAAAATTTCATTCAAATTCATTGCTTATTAATTTCTTAAATGATAGTTAAATTTTCTAAAGACCCAGAAACAAATAAATAGTACATGTACACATATTATACAAGATATTTACTTGTTTATTGTGAAAAATCAAACAAAAAAACAAAATCCTCAAAACTAAGCTATGAATCACAAAACAGGGAAATTGTACCAAACCATGACAGACAGCACAAAATAAATTTAGTTTTTGATACCAGCTCATTTCAGACCATATGTCCCGACATAAGAACACAAACTTGAATTAACATGAACTCTTTGTGAATTCATGTTCCAAAAAAACCCCAAACAAACAAAAAATTACAACTTGCTTATTTAAATTCTACCAATATCTGCTTAGATTTCACTTATTAACTTCTCCCTAAAACAACCCTATTAAATAACCACAGCTCCAAACTATGAACATATACTTCCCTAAATCCCCCCATTTAAGACAATAACAGAGTCCAAAATGTTGTCTACCTTTTGCTGAGAAGGATTAATAAACCTAGCTTTACCCAGTTCACAAGTTTCCCTGGTTGGTCAGTGCATGGGAACTTCCACACTTAAACTGATAATTTACTTAATAATGTTTAAATCAAGTGTTTTCTTGTGCATAATACCTGTCATCCTAGGAAGAAATACTGAAGTGAACTCATAAACATTGAAGAAATTGTTTGAAATAGTCCCAAATCCCTTTCATAATTACCTTTGCTTCTTTTTTTTCTATAAATACAAGTGAACCAGCTAGAAAGGAATTCCAGGGTCAGGCTGAATCACTTTTGCCTTAAAGTAAGAAGGGTAAAATATAATTAGGTGATGTCTTAGTATGAGCTACAGGTAATTTTCTGCATTTTTACAATTCCAAGAAAGGAGTATGGACTGCATTTTTTTAATTGATGTTACTACCTCATCTTATTACAGACAAAATCCTTTGAGTTCCTCCTATTCAACAAAAGGTGTCAATTCATCCCACTTTCCTAAAACAAGATTCAAAAGCAGTCAAAGGTAAAACTATTTTAAAAAAGTAAAAATATTAAGATCTTTATTCTCTTTTCTGTGACCAAATCAGTAAATATATTTAGACATATAGAGAATAAGCTTGCAGAGAGATGTTCCTGTTTGCAATTCACTTGCTCATAATGTTAAGAAGAATACCTATTATAGTTTTATGATTTTTCATAAATAGAAAATCTCTCTGAGAATAATAATGCTCAAGAACACTATTACTCACTTTTATCACTACTGTGTCTCCTTCTGCTCATATATTTTTGGAGTGGGATATATAGTTTGCTAAATTTTAAATGCACTTGAAACCTGGAGTTCAGAGTTAAAACCTGAACCTGAACCTTTATAATGAGTTTATTTATACTCTGCAAAATGCAACTTCCTGTTTTAAGGAAAGGACTTAAGAGGACTTATAAAACAGGTTCAGAAAGCTTCTTGGACATCAAATAGCTCTTACAAAATAACATTTTGATGATTTAAGTGTAAATGAATCAGAAACATATGAATTAAATTTCCCTTGAAATACACGTGCTTAAAAATTAAGGGAAGAAGGATTTGGCAAAACATTCTTTGTTTGAGTCCAAAACTTCTCAAGTATAGTTCAAGACATTTATTGAATCCCTAATAATCTAAGATCTTCCGGGTGTAGGAAAGGAAATACAAGAAAAGTCACTGTAGCCTCTAGTCCCACAAATATCCTAATAAATATAACAACAATAACAACAGGATATCTCTTATTTGTATAGAAACTTACCTTCTACAAAGTTTTTAGATTTTAATTATAATTTGGTCTATTAAACCAGCATACTCCCTGAGCCTTTTAAAAGTCAGGTCTACAAACAAATGTCCTAATTACTTTGAACTTTGCTTTATATCACAAGTCACAGTTCTGCCCAGGAAGAATGGCTGTCCTTCATGTATAATAAATACAGAAGATACCGAATATATACAATGTGGGGTTTCTGTTCTTATCTAATGTTAATAGTGGGAATACTAAGTTTTCAATGGAGATAGTTAAAACAAATAAATTATGATTTATATATTTTTATGTGGAACTTGGTGCACAGGCAGTAATGATGAAGACAAAGCTACTGAAAACATGTGCTACCTCTCACCTTGAACCAGGCAAAAACAGGGTGCAGGAAAGGGGAACTGGACTAAAGACTCTAGGTTCCAGCCTCTCACACATCTCCAGAAAGATTCAAAGGAGAAATGGAGCAAGAGAAAGCAATCAAAGGCATTTCCTTACACTGTCACACGCCTGTGGCTTGACAGCTCTCATCAGGTCACTAGGCTAGAACTTCCTTACTCGGTGGAGATATATTTTCTTTGTAATAGATGATCCCATGAATCGCTATTCAGCCATTTAATATAACAGCTTTTCTCTCCAATTTTTAAGTACTTAATCCTAACTGTGTCTGAGCTTTCTTCTTTAAAAACACAAAAATAAAGCCTGACCTTTTATTTGCTCCCATTATAATTCATACAGTCAGTGGAGTTCTGCCATGTATGAATCTAATTCAAAACATTTTCTGGTTAATCAGCTAGCCAGTGGGAAAGATAAGATGGATCCCAGATGTCCCCTGATGATGATAGGTAGATCAGATTACACCGTGGGACAAAGGAGGGTCAGCCTTCTCAGAACTTACTCACTGGGCAAGATGTAAAAGATTATGTCTCAGCAGCTAAGGTGGCAGCCTATGAAAGGCCTTTAAATGGCTCTGAAAAAATATACAGACTATGTATTCAGGGTCAGGAGAAACAGTATTTGAAAAAATTTTTCATTTTTTAAAGAACATATTTTTCTTTCAGAGGGACATCCTTCTGCTTTATCTCTGTCCTTAAATATTCTGCAATTGAAGTATTCTATTAATTTTTCTGCTTCATTTAACTTCTTTTATGAGTGTCATTGTATAAGTATCATATTCTGATTCTATACTTTTATTTATAGAGTTAATATTAATAACTAATAGGATCAAGAAAACACTGAAAATTATATTCAGATGACCAAACATATGCAATGTAGTCACTAGAAAAAAAAAAAAAACTATCTTATCTCTGCATTTCCCCCTGATAGAATCATTCTACTAAACCCAATACCACTGTATATACTGTACTAATCACTCACCCTCCATAAAAGTTACTGTGAAAGAAAACAAATTAGAATTGCTTAATAAAGTCTATACACTATCCTGCAATAATGCTAGATCACTACTTTGTGATAAAACATACAGATATTTATCAGCTGTTTCATGACACTAGAAAAATCTCATTGGTTCTTAAGTTTTAACCTTCGAATATTAGGAATCCTCAAATTAATGAAACAGGAAAAGTTTACCATAAAAAGTTCTACAATAAGTGGATATAGGCTCTGGAACAATTCCCTCTAAAATTCTTGGTCTCTTAGAATACTTAAATAGATGTTGAGCTGCCTCTTTACTGTGTTTTATTACT